ATTTTCAATTTTTTGACAAGGTAGGGGGTCGTGCAAAATTTTAAAAATTTTCAAATTTTTGACGAGGTAGGGGGTCGTGCAAAATTTTAAAAAATTTTCAATTTTTTGACAAGGTAGGGGGTCGTGCAAAATTTTAAAAAATTTTCAATTTTTTGACAAGGTAGGGGGTCGTGCAAAATTTTAAAAAATTTTCAATTTTTTGACAAGGTAGGGGGTCGTGCAAAATTTTAAAAAATTTTCAATTTTTTGACAAGGTAGGGGGTCGTGCAAAATTTTAAAAAATTTTCAATTTTTTGACAAGGTAGGGGGTCGTGCAAAATTTTAAAAAATTTTCAATTTTTTGACAAGGTAGGGGGTCGTGCAAAATTTTAAAAAATTTGCAATTTTTTGACAAGGTAGGGGGTCGTGCAAAATTTTAAAAAATTTTCAATTTTTTGACAAGGTAGGGGGTCGTGCAAAATTTGAAAAAATTTTCAATTTTTTGACAAGGTAGGGGGTCGTGCAAAATTTTAAAAAATTTTCAATTTTTTGACAAGGTAGGGGGTCGTGCAAAATTTTAAAAAATTTTCAAATTTTTGACAAGGTAGGGGGTCGTGCAAAATTTGAAAAAATTTTCAAAATTTTTGACAAGGTAGGGGGTCGTGCAAAATTTTAAAAAATTTTCAATTTTTTGACAAGGTAGGGGGTCGTGCAAAATTTTAAAAAATTTTCAATTTTTTGACAAGGTAGGGGGTCGTGCAAAATTTTAAAAAATTTTCAATTTTTTGACAAGGTAGGGGGTCGTGCAAAATTTGAAAAAATTTTCAATTTTTTGACAAGGTAGGGGGTCGTGCAAAATTTTAAAAAATTTTCAATTTTTTGACAAGGTAGGGGGTCGTGCAAAATTTTAAAAAATTTTCAAATTTTTGACAAGGTAGGGGGTCGTGCAAAATTTTAAAAAATTTTCAATTTTTTGACAAGGTAGGGGGTCGTGCAAAATTTTAAAAAATTTTCAATTTTTTGACAAGGTAGGGGGTCGTGCAAAATTTTAAAAAATTTTCAATTTTTTGACAAGGTAGGGGGTCGTGCAAAATTTGAAAAAATTTTCAATTTTTTGACAAGGTAGGGGGTCGTGCAAAATTTTAAAAAATTTTCAATTTTTTGACAAGGTAGGGGGTCGTGCAAAATTTTAAAAAATTTTCAAATTTTTGACAAGGTAGGGGGTCGTGCAAAATTTTAAAAAATTTTCAATTTTTTGACAAGGTAGGGGGTCGTGCAAAATTTTAAAAATTTTCAAATTTTTGACGAGGTAGGGGGTCGTGCAAAATTTTAAAAAATTTTCAATTTTTTGACAAGGTAGGGGGTCGTGCAAAATTTTAAAAAATTTTCAATTTTTTGACAAGGTAGGGGGTCGTGCAAAATTTTAAAAAATTTTCAATTTTTTGACAAGGTAGGGGGTCGTGCAAAATTTTAAAAAATTTTCAAATTTTTGACAAGGTAGGGGGTCGTGCAAAATTTTAAAAAATTTTCAATTTTATGACAAGGTAGGGGGTCGTGCAAAATTTTAAAAAATTTTCAATTTTTTGACAAGGTAGGGGGTCGTGCAAAATTTTAAAAAATTTTCAATTTTTTGACAAGGTAGGGGGTCGTGCAAAATTTTAAAAAATTTTCAATTTTTTGACGTGGTAGGGGGTCGTGCAAAATTTTAAAAAATTTTCAATTTTTTGACAAGGTAGGGGGTCGTGCAAAATTTTAAAAAATTTTCAATTTTTTGACAAGGTAGGGGGTCGTGCAAAATTTTAAAAAATTTTCAATTTTTTGACAAGGTAGGGGGTCGTGCAAAATTTTAAAAAATTTTCAATTTTTTGACAAGGTAGGGGGTCGTGCAAAATTTTAAAAATTTTCAAATTTTTGACAAGGTAGGGGGTCGTGCAAAATTTTAAAAAATTTTCAATTTTTTGACAAGGTAGGGGGTCGTGCAAAATTTGAAAAAATTTTCAATTTTTTGACAAGGTAGGGGGTCGTGCAAAATTTTAAAAAATTTTCAATTTTTTGACAAGGTAGGGGGTCGTGCAAAATTGTAAAAAATTTTCAATTTTTTGACAAGCTAGGGGGTCGTGCAAAATTTTAAAAATTTTCAAATTTTTGACAAGGTAGGGGGTCGTGCAAAATTTTAAAAAATTTTCAATTTTTTGACAAGGTAGGGGGTCGTGCAAAATTTTAAAAATTTTCAAATTTTTGACAAGGTAGGGGGTCGTGCAAAATTTTAAAAAATTTTCAATTTTTTGACAAGGTAGGGGGTCGTGCAAAATTTGAAAAAATTTTCAATTTTTTGACAAGGTAGGGGGTCGTGCAAAATTTTAAAAAATTTTCAATTTTTTGACAAGGTAGGGGGTCGTGCAAAATTTTAAAAATTTTCAAATTTTTGACGAGGTAGGGGGTCGTGCAAAATTTTAAAAAATTTTCAATTTTTTGACAAGGTAGGGGGTCGTGCAAAATTTTAAAAAATTTTCAATTTTTTGACAAGGTAGGGGGTCGTGCAAAATTTTAAAAATTTTCAAATTTTTGACAAGGTAGGGGGTCGTGCAAAATTTTAAAAAATTTTCAATTTTTTGACAAGGTAGGGGGTCGTGCAAAATTTTAAAAAATTTTCAATTTTTTGACAAGGTAGGGGGTCGTGCAAAATTTTAAAAAATTTTCAATTTTTTGACAAGGTAGGGGGTCGTGCAAAATTTTAAAAAATTTTCAATTTTTTGACAAGGTAGGGGGTCGTGCAAAATTTTAAAAAATTTTCAATTTTTTGACAAGGTAGGGGGTCGTGCAAAATTTTAAAAAATTTGCAATTTTTTGACAAGGTAGGGGGTCGTGCAAAATTTTAAAAAATTTTCAATTTTTTGACAAGGTAGGGGGTCGTGCAAAATTTGAAAAAATTTTCAATTTTTTGACAAGGTAGGGGGTCGTGCAAAATTTTAAAAAATTTTCAATTTTTTGACAAGGTAGGGGGTCGTGCAAAATTTTAAAAAATTTTCAAATTTTTGACAAGGTAGGGGGTCGTGCAAAATTTGAAAAAATTTTCAAAATTTTTGACAAGGTAGGGGGTCGTGCAAAATTTTAAAAAATTTTCAATTTTTTGACAAGGTAGGGGGTCGTGCAAAATTTTAAAAAATTTTCAATTTTTTGACAAGGTAGGGGGTCGTGCAAAATTTTAAAAAATTTTCAATTTTTTGACGAGGTAGGGGGTCGTGCAAAATTTTAAAAAATTTCCAATTTTTTGACAAGGTAGGGGGTCGTGCAAAATTTTAAAATATTTTAAATTTTTTGACAAGGTAGGGGGTCGTGCAAAATTTTAAAAAATTTTCAATTTTTTGACGAGGTAGGGGGTCGTGCAAAATTTTAAAAAATTTCCAACTTTTTGACAAGGTCACTTTGCAACTTTTTGACTTTTAAAAAATTTTCAATTTTTTGACAAGGTCCGAGGTAGAGGGTCGTGCAAAATTTTAAAATATTTTAAATTTTTTGACAAGGTAGGGGGTCGTGCAAAATTTTAAAAAATTTTCAATTTTTTGACGAGGTAGGGGGTCGTGAAAAATTTTAAAAAATTTGCAACTTTTTGACAAGGTCACTTTGCAACTTTTTGACTTTTAAAAAATTTTCAATTTTTTGACAAGGTCCGAGGTAGGGGGTCGTTCAAAATTTTGAAATATTTTCAATTTTTTGACAAGGTAGGGGGTCGTGCAAAATTTTAAAAAATTTTAAATTTTTTGACAAGGTAGGTGGTCGTGCAAAATTTTAAAATATTTTAAATTTTTTGACAAGGTAGGGGGTCGTGCAAAATTTTAAAAAATTTCCAATTTAAAAAAATTTTCAATTTTTTGACAAATTAGGCGGTCGTGCAAAATTTTAAAAAATTTTCAATTTTTTGACAAGGTCGGTATAATTTGGGTGCAGGGTATAAGACAATCGGCTTATACCGACTCAAACGTTTTTATTTGCTTTAATAATAAATCGTAAACCAAGATGGATGAAAATTTAAATTCCAAAATTATTATAATAGTGTGAAATTAGTTTTCTTTTTGTTGGTGATATATATGCATCAGACTCTTAAGTATACATACATATATTACAAGCTAATTTTAAAGGTCGTTAAAAATACATGCATGAATACATCAGAATTTAAATGAAGTTCCAAAGTCCAAATTTATATCTCTTCACTTTTATAAAATATTTTTTTAGTTACACAATGATATTAAACAAAAATTACTTGGATGAAATTCTATGCTTGATTCCGTTTTTTAACTATAATATGTGGTTAGAACAATATAAGAAATTTCCAGGTATGATGAAAAAAGTCTTGTATTTTTATAGTTTTTGGTAACAGTAATTAATTTTTAATTTATTTTTAATTAAAATTCAATAAAATAAATAAAAAATTAAAATAAAAATATGTTGACAAAGACTAATGACATTAACATTAACAGAAAAACAAGCAAACCCAAAATAAAGAAAAAAAACTTGGTATTTTTAATGAATTGTTTTTTTTTATATTTGGTCTGAAAGGAATTTAACGTAATGTGTATATGTATGTGCACTATAATAAAGTACACTATTCGTTCATTAAAGAATGCATGTTAAATTGTAATAGTTAAAAATGTTAAACTCTTTTATTAGATCAAAAATTAGTTGTTCTAATATAAAAGAAAATATTTGGTGATCAGATTCAGTTTGACAGAATGATAACATAAATAACAGAAATACAGAATTTGGTCAGTAATGCATTTTTAAATCTGGTTAAAAAAATTTAAATAAATTTTTTTAAGCTTTATTTAAGTACCGTTCGTAACTTTAATATGAAAAAATGTTAGATTATATTTCATGTATTTCAACAAATTTTCTGGGTAAATTATACGAAGCGGGAAAGTTGCGTCTAATCTATATACATACATATATCAGAAGGTTAAAAAATTGTTTAAATTACTTATTTTAATAGAATACATAACGTATATTTAATAACTGTTTTCAACTTACTCATTTAAAAATTTTTCAATTTTATCGTATAGTATAAAGCGAGATTGCCTATGATATAAAATATCCACAATTTGTAAAGGGTCATAATGATATTTCCTGATGTCACGTTTCTTACGTTTACCAAAAACAGGAATTATAATATGATTTTTTTTAAACTTATTATGATATCCTTCAGTATATTTTCTATTGTTGTTGTCAATATAATTTTTATTCCATTTAAAATTATTATAATCTGAATTGAAGTTTTGATTTGATGAAAATATTTGATTTATTCCACTATAAAAGAAAAAAATTTTTATTAGCTTTATATTAAATATCACAAATATTTATTGGATATTGCATGTATTAATTTCTGAAAGTATAGGGAGTCTTTATTTGGACAAAACTTTGAACTAAACCATTTCCAGGTTTGATTTGAAACATTGTTTATTCATTGTTAAAAAATTCACAAAAATCCTTAAATTTAAAAATTTTTGGTAAAAATATTGCATATAAAATTATTGTACTCGTATTGTATGTTTCCTTTGAAAATAGTTTTATTTTTGAGAAATATTCAAAAGCAAATGAGAAATAATTTTTCAATATTTTTTATTGTCAGTTCAATAAATTTACAAATAGAATGAAGAGTATTAGACTAATAACAATGATGTTCTTAAAGTTTCATTGTAATGGCATTTGAATGTGTACGACAAAGAAGTTGCTCTAACATCAATAATTTGTCATATGTGTACAATAGTATTTACATATAAAATTTACAGAATATAAAATTCTATAAATCTGTGTACTTTATTCTTTTGAATCAAAATTTCTTTGAAGTATTCAACTTTATATCACATTAAAGTTAATTTTTGATTTCTATTCGATCAAAATCTATTCGTTTTTGTATCAATCGAAATTTAATATAGTCTCGGTTAAAAATTTTGATAAGGATTAAAAAATATTTTTTTTTTATAAACTATAGATATGACAATGACATATAAGTAGTTATATAAATTTATGTTAAATATTTGAATGTAGAAATAGTTTTGGAAATGGTGAAAGGATTCATATAAAAGAAATCTACAAATTAAAATTTTGAAATGGGAATATTTCATATTCCAAAGAATGAAATATTTCTGAAGAAGAAAGAGTATAAATGTCCATTTGAGTTAAAGAGAATTAAATGAAATTTGAGATTTTCCAATGTATTCATGTAAAGCCCATATTATATATACGATCAACATACACATATATGCACAAGTTGTTAATAATATGGCTTATTCTACACGAACATAAAAGTTTTTAGTACACACTGCTCCTTCTGTTAAAGATTACGTTCAATTTAAAAAAATTAAAAACGATTATATGAAAAAATTTGATTTTATCGCGAAAACCTTGATATGGTGTTCCTGGTGGGAAAACTTGTTGCAATTAATTAAATTAAGAAAAGCGATTTTTGTTTGAACGTAGTTATCATTGTTCAAATTGAATTTTAAGAAAGTTAAAATTAAATTTTAGTGCTTTAAAAAATATTAATATTAAATTTTAATTTTTTTTTTCTTAAAAAATGTTAATTTTTTGTGCTAAGTATGAAAATTTAAAAAAAAATTTTTAATAATAATTTTTTGACTTACTTCGTTTTTGTGATTGTATTCCAGGATTCATTATCCCATTTACCATTAAAATTGTTAAATTTATATTTATTTTCATAATTATTGTTAAAAGGATTTTCCTTAAAATAATTATTATTTTTCATATTTTTCTGATAATATGAATATTTTAAAGGTGGATGAAAATTATTAAAATTTGTTGGTGATATATTTTCATTTCCTTTCAGATTTTCATTCGATTCCATTTGATTGTGATTAAATGTTTTATAATAATCATCATATCTATATATTGGATGAGTTTCATTATCACTTCTTTGAAGACCTAAAGTACCATTATTTAATTTATTAACAACATTTTCAATTATTTCACTTGGTGGATCACTTGGTAATGCCCATGCCAAAGCAACTGTTATACCAAGAATTAAATAATTATTATAATCGACAATTGGTACGATTCCATCCCAAACTTGAGTAAAAGAAAAAAAAAGTATGTATGTATGTAAAAATAAAATTATTAAATATTAAATCGCATAAATATAAAAATTTCCATATTTTTTTCCAAAATCAAAACTATATTCAAAATTGTAATTTTATTATTTATAAGTACATAAATTTTGTTTTTCCACCTCTCAAATGAGGAATTATGTATTTAATGAAGAAATTATTAATAATTATTAATTATATACACACACACATTTATATAATTATTTTCATTAATTATTTTAATAAAATATTTAAAAAAAAATTAATATAATACATACTGTACTTATAATAGATTATTTAAATTTATGTAAATTTATAATTGAATAATTTTAAATTTATAAATTTTAAGCTATAGTGAAATTTAATTATACGAGTAAACAATATAAATAAAATGGTGTATGGAAATTTTGATATTTATGGATATAATAATTAATTTTATTATACGCAAGTTTTGGTTTTATTAATTAAAAATTCGTTGCCGGAAAATTTGGAATCGCAACAGGTTGTTTGCAAATAGAATAGGAATAATTAAGATTTATTATAGGTTAATAAAAGTTTTTATAGCTTTTAATATATTAGTTTTTATTTATAATACATGGAATGTTTTATTATTTTGTAGAACAATTAATTTTATATTAAAAATTTTTTTTCAAAATATAACTCTCAAATTCTATGAAAGGGATCACTTTAGCAATTAAGCGAAAGGGTGTGTGTACGGTTCGTACTTTAAGTACTTCTACAAATATTTTTAAAAATATTTTGAAATAATTAATTTTCGCTGTGATGGAAATAGTACGATTTTTTATGTGTAAAATCTAAAACATCAATTATTTTAAAAGGAATAAAATGCAAGAAGATAATTAATTTATAATATTTAAAGATTTCATTTATCATAAACTTGAAATATTTATGATTTATATTAAAGAAAATTTAAAATTTTAAGTAGGTTAAAAATTAAAATTTAAGGCTTTGTGTTGGAGGCGATTTGTGTATTAACAACAGAGATTTGAACTCAACTAAATAGTGATGATTACTTATAATTTTGTTTTTCGTTATTAAAATTAATGAACGCTATTCTGTTAATTAGTTTCTAGTAGCATGAATTCAATTTTGTTGTCTTATAAAGAATATTGTGAATAATGATGTTGAAATATGAAATTAAATAAATTTTTCAAGTCAAATTTAAATACCGTGATTATAAAAATTTAAAAATTCAATCACAAACAATAATGGATCACATTTTAAAGTTTTAAAAATTTTGCAACTTTTCAATATGACAATAAAATTATATTAATTTTTATTTTATTAAATTAAAATTTTAAATTCGAATATAATTATTTTAATTTCTTTACATTTTGTAATTCATAAAATAAATTTTAATGAATTTATTTTTAATATATATTATATTTAAACTTATATAAATTTATTTTTATTATGTATCAGTAATTTCCTTGGAAAACACATATTTAATAATATGTGTTTAATGTCTTTTCTAATAATATAATTTGTGTAATGTAATGCTAATGTTTTCTTAATAAATACAATTTACCAATATGTTTTACACCCCCATCAGAAGATTGTTATATTTAAGAATTTAAATGTTTTCGAAAAAGAGTTGTTAAAGTCTAGAAAATTGATTTTTTGGAGATATTCGAGAATTTTAGAGTTTGTAACTTTTAAAACCATTTTATTATTTCGATTAAGGAAGACATTTGAGGAGTTCAGTTTGTCATTGGAAAATTTAATATTTTCTAAATTCTCATTTTACATTATTACAGTAAAGTAAACTAAAAAGAAAATTTAATTTTCGTGTATATTAATCTATATGTAAATAAATACGTAATGCTTGTATATATGTTAAAAAAAATATTAATATACATTTTGTCTAATTTTAAATTCCTTAATAGAATATATGAATTGAAAAATTATGTATGGGTAAAATATAAAAGAAAATATACATAATCGTTAAAAAAATTTACCTATACGTACCTATTTGAAATGAGCTTCCTTCCGGGAATGTTAAATAACGTCTACTTCTAGACAATATCCTTTCAGTATCAGCATTTTCCTTATTTTCTTCATATTCCTTTATAAAATCTTCTTCATCTTTTTGTCCTGCTTCTTCATCATTATGATAATGATATTTTAAGTAAACATCCTTAAACATACTACTATGCTCTAGAACATTATAACTAACTTTCGTAATAGGTTTATATTCATTATTAAGAATATTGATGTCATTATTAACATTAGATGATTGTATATTGTGAATATTATCAGTGATAGGATGATGAAAAGTTGAAAATTTTTTGTTAGAATAAGAATGTTTTTCGATACCAATGAACTCTTCAAAATTTCTATTTTGTTTTTCATTTATTTTATGATTAATATTTTCATTTAATTTAAAAATTTCATTTTGATAAAATTTACTATCATCATTACTATTATAGTTTTGTTTTATTGAATTTTCTTGTAATGAACTATTTTGAATCATAGTATTTTTAGTATAATTATTATAGTTTTTTATAATTTTATCATTGTGTAAATATTTTCTGGTAATTTTTTCATTATTTATTTTATGATAGTGATTATTTATAATATCATGATTATCAAAACTATCAGTAGATGGAGAAATAAAATTATTATCGTTATCATTTATGTTTTCGTTGTTATTGTTGTTAGAAATGTCAAAATAATCGATGGTGTGAAAATTTTCGCTATTCGTATCATCATTATTATTGGAATAATCATTTTCATTGTCATTTCGGTTATTAAATGACATTATCAAAATTAACATAATTAGAATGAAGAAGAAAATTAACCAAAACATCCAATGCCAAATGGTTGCCGATTTTAATAATAATGTTCTTCTTGTTTTTGATGATATTTTTGATATTGATAGTGATGACAATAATGGTGATGATGCTGATGATGATGATTTGGATATAGATGATCTCTTGAAATATAATTTTGAAACCATAGTGATGGTAATTTATCTAAAGGAATATAAATATATCAAAAGAAAAAATAAAGAAAATAAAGTAATTTTACAAAATTTATAAAAAGGATTTTACTTGGATTTCCTTTATTTTTGCGAGGAGGAGTGTTTTTTTTTAAAGAAAATTGATATTGCAGGTGGGTGTATTTTTCAAGAGTAATGAGAACTAATTTTTGTATATATGATTTCTATTATTTTTAAATAACAGCAAATATCCGTACAAACCTATATGTTCGACAATATGTGCAAAAAGTACAGTTTGCTAGATTTGCACAATTGAACAGGTTTATAATAAAATCTAAGTTTAATTTTGTTACATGTATTTGTAATAAAATAGTTGTAGTAACTGGTACTATATATAATAATTTTTTTTATTTAAAAAATTAAATCAATTTCATTTTAACTTTTAATATACCTTTTATTCTATTAAATTCAATATTTTTATGAACACTTAAACACTTAAAAAAAAATAAAAAAAAATTACAATATTGCAATTACATCTGCATAATTAAAAATATACTCCTAACGTTACTACAAATAATTTAAACTATTAAAATCCAATTCAGTTCATCTTTACTTAACACTCTTACAATAACACTAATGAAGCCCACTACATATTATTCTAAGACATTATACTACATATTATTCTGTAACTATGCAATGTAGAAATGTTCTATGTGGTATAGTTTTTTTTCTTCTTGGTTTAAAATATCTATTATATTATTCTATATTGAAAATCAATTGAAAAGTTTATTACCATTTAATGTTCTAATTAGCAACATTTTAAATGTGTTTACTTATTGTATACTTTAAAGTTTAATAAAAAAATGTAACAATACAGCAATACAATTGAATGAACAATTTGTTAATGGATGTTTAGTAGTAATTGTTTATTATTAAAAAAAATTGTACAATTATACTTAATTTTTATGTTTTACTTACATATATATATGTATACCTACATGAATTTATTTGTAATTATTAAATGGTTTTTAATAAAAAAGTAACACAAACTTAATAAAATGCAAACTATAGTTGTGTTGAAAACTTGTATATAATATTCTGTATGTTATTACTCTAGCTACTGTAGAATATATAGGGAATTTATGCAAATATGAAATTTATTATTATTCTATTATTACTATGCTATGACGATATGTAAATTTATGCCTCATCGGCAGAGTTATCCTGAATGTTTGAGAAGGCTGTAATATATTCATCCAAAAGGTTGGACAAACAGGGGAATGTGGTAATTATATGCCAATAGCAATCCTAAATTTAATTAGCGAAATCTATAAGAAAGCTATTAATAAACGAATTCGTAACTTTGTTGAATCAACAGTCGCTTTTGATAAAAATTAATATGGCTTCATAGAAGGAACTTATACTGATTCTGCAGCTTTAGATGAAGGTCATTATGTTTCGGTTATTTTTACTGATTTAATAAAGCATTATTTTTACAGATAAAATACAGCGTGCGAATCAATAATACTATAAGCGCTGAATTTTTTATAAACACTCTCTCTATAATAGGAGAATCTCTATAATAGGACCATTTATGTATTCCTTCAAGTTGTAATAAGGAATCAAAGTACATCAAAAAAAAAGGTAAAAAAAATATCAAAGTCTTATATGGATTTCATCATATGGAATATCATGAAATTATATTAAAAGCCGGATATAATGTAATATAAAGAGTGAAAAACATTTAACGTCTTGAAATCTGCAAAGATGAACATTAAAAATAGGATAAATATTTAAGCATTTGAAAGAGAGTATTATTCCAATTACTATGGCAATAAAAAGAGATATTAATCAGTTGTTGTATTTCGAGAAATGCAAATATGTTTTTAAAACAGCAAACAAAGGGATGAAATATGAAATTAAATTTCAATTCCAACAAGATAAGGGCATACAGTACATAATTATAATATTAGGCAGAGAATGCATTTAGTGGTACCTATAACAAGTACATTTATGAAGTTGGGAGGCCCAAACAAACAGTAATACATTACTGGATAATATCAAGATTTGTAAAAAAGTAAATTTGTTCAAAAGTAATGTAGCTTTTAGAAAAATTACTTTGTAAGATTAGTTTTAGTATAAATTTCTCATAAACAATAAATTATATATGAATTTTGTGAAATGAAAGAATAAATAAATATATAAATAAAATATTGTAAATAAATATTGTAAATTTGGGGTAAAATATTATTGGGTCGACGATATTATTTTATTCTTATTTAAAAAATTGAAAGCCAACAAAAGATTTCAGGAAGTATCAGTTTTAATAGATGATAATATCATGGCTATACTTTTAATATAGAACAGTGCTAATTCCAAATTCTATAAATTAAATCAGAAGTTTATTTTTATTCAATTTCTTCTCATATATATTAAAAATGCATACTATATAAATGAAAACATTAAAAAACAAAAAAATTATTTAAAATTTTTATTCAATCACAATAATTTATATAATAACATTTTATCCATATAAGTACATATATTTATATATACAAACATTCAGTACTTGTATTCATTCAGCCCAAACACTTGTAGGGCAAAGAGGATATTTTTCATTACAATCACCTTCATATGAATGCGCTTCATCATATATTTTATGTTTTTCTTGTTTAACTTTAAAAACTGGTTGTGGTAAAGTGAAAATAGCTCTTAAAATTTCTCGAAATATATCTACAGGTTCAGTATCATCTTCTCTCTGACCAATTTCACATAATGACTTTAAAATACATTCAGTTCCATTTTGTCCCAATCTGAAATTAAATATATTATGACATTATTATTGAAAATTAATATTTATGTGTATTTTATATTTATGCAGTTAAATTGTATGTATAGTATATAATATGTATGTATTTTTATATAATGTTTATTTTCATGTGGATGGGAATGTAAATTTTAATTTAATTTTTATATCCTTATAAAGTCCTTTATATATTAAAATGTAGTATGGAACACGAGTAAAATTGAATAATAATTTTTTATTTTTTTTTTTTCTGGTTTTTCTCATAATTTAATACTTACTGATCCAAAAATTTTTCAAGTTTCTCATATAGTTCCTGACGAGATGTACGATGATAATTTATATCTATGAGATCGTATTTATCATAACTTGGTATATCTGTGTCTCTTTTCTTACGTTTACCAAATATCGGAATGACGTATGGCTTGAATGAAGTTTTTTTATTTTTTTTCTTAAATTTTTTTCTTATTTTTTTATTATTAATATTGCCACCAGATGTCGTTGATGTAATTTTTTTATCTTTAAGAGAATTTATCGATGTTTTGTATGAATATTGATTATATTCAGTGTTAGCATTTTTCATATTTGATGAAATTCTGAAATAAAAGAAAAAAAAAATATTCAAAATAAAAATAAAAAAAAATTATAAAAAAAAATAGAGAATTTTTATTAATTTAACATTCACTTAAATTGATTAATGAAAATCATAAATTTTTATTCATGTCAAGAGGTTTTGTTAATTGAAAATGGTAGCTTTTTTATTTGCTATCGTTTTTTTTTTGTATTTTACTAAAAATAGAAATTTCTACAAAAAATTAACGAAACATAATTTCATATATGAATTTTGTTATAATAAATATTTCATTACAATAGGTGGGATATTAAGTAGCCATAATGGTTGTATACAAAATTTTATTTTTCAAAAATTATAAAATTTAAAATTAATTTTAGATAAACGTATAAAAATGTTTATATATGATGTAGAAATTCATAGTTGAAATTCATGAATTGTTCTTTGCTCTATACAGCGTAATATGCTTGTATGTAATGGTTGATATTTATTTTTAAAACCTCGAAGTTATTTTTTAGCAGAATGGTTGTTAGCAGAACCATATTTATTAGTAAGACTTAATTTTTTAATACAAGAATATTAGTATTAACTTCAAAAGCAAATTTCTGCAATTTTTTCAACTATATTGTCCAACCATATTGCTTTTACAATAGACCCATGGAAAATTCAATAAATAAATATTTAAATGTTATACTATATGATATTGATAATTTTAGACACGTTTTCATTGCACTAATTAAATCAGTTCATAATATTTCTATAATATAATTCCACTTTAATACCAAATACGAATCAAACTAACAAAGTTTTTGTCAAATCAAAATCAAGATCATTTAATTACTAGCTATATATATTTCTGAAATAAATTTTATGTTAATTATTATAACTTGGACAATTTATAAGAATATAAATATGTAATAATAATTATAACCATATTATAATTTTGATAAAAATTTCCTTCTATAATTAATTATTTTGTATTATTTTTTGTAGTTAGCATCAGTCCCCTCTTCCTTAACAATATATAATGTGTTACTGTCTATCAAATGCAACATATCAAATTTTTTATATTGTATGTCATCGATTTTTACATTTATATACAAAAGATATAAAAAAGATCCTGTGTATATTAAGGTATATATAACATAAAAATAGAAATACATAAAAAAATATATTTATATAATTATTATACATATACATATATACAAGTAAATAAATATAAATTTCATGTAATACCTGTTATATAGAGATGACAATATCATGGGATTATTATTTTTCCAAATAGGATTGTAATGATTATTATTATATGGCCCTAACCAATAGTTATGTCCTTGCCAATATCCATTTAATGTTGAATTTTTATAATATTCACTGTTTTTATATGGTGTTGATTTATTTAGTTTGGTTTTTTTTAAATAATTGTTGCTATTGGTATTAAAAATACGGTCGTTAAGAATGTTATCATCAATAGTATTAGAATAGTTTTTCCATTTGATACCATTATTATTATTATTTCTCCATATTAGTTCAGCCTGATGATGATGTTGATGTTGATTATTATATTCATTTATACTATTGCCATCTGTTATTATTGGATAATTTTTTTTTTTTTTGCATTATTATTATTGTTATTTTATTTTTCGATAATGATAGCAAAAATTATATATAAAAATACATGTATGTATGTGTGAAGGTGATTTATTTATCATTAATATGAAATTTACGTTTTCATATATATATATATATATATATTTTTTTTATATTTATTTATTTATATATGTACATATTTTCATTATTATTCTTACCATTTGTGTTCTTGTATCCTTGTTCATTTTCATATTTATTTTTTTGTTTTCTATTTAAATATTTATTTTTATCATCTGTATATTTGATGTTATTAATAGAATCTTTACGATTTGACAAAATGTCGGTTGTATTTTTTTGTGTACTAAAATGTTCGGAAATTTTTTCAAGATCATCAATTTGTTCACTAGGTGGTTTAATTGGTAATTGCCATGCAAGCGCAACTGTTAATCCATAAAGACCATAAAATTCATATCCTGGATAATAATAATAAGCACAAAATGCTAAAATAACAATAACAAAAAAAAAATTAAAAATTATATTTTATGATATATAGGAAATGTTAACATTTCACGAATTTTTTTTCTAATGTACTTATACATACATAATATACATAACTAGTTTGTTTATATTATGTTCTATTATTTATGTACAAGTTTTAGCAAGAAATTCATTTTTTTTTTGAAAATTACATTTTTTTTCAAAACACAAAGTTTTTAACTGAAAATTAAAGTGAAGTTTCATGCAACAATTTGCTGGATTTTAAGCGTAAGTCCAAATTATTTTAATAAAAAATCGTGAAGACTTTGATCTGGGATCCACCTTAACATAGAGAAGTACGGAAGACATATTACATATTACATATAATATGATCGATATTAATTTTCATATTTATTAAAAAAAACTGTTTTTATTATTACCACATTTTAAGAAGCATGGTTAAAATATTCAGTTGCAAGGAAATCCGTTTATTTGTTTTATAAATGTATAATCGGCTCATATTTCAGGTTCAGTTGCTGAGATCTGACTTACTCCTGTAGTTGATAACTACGTCGAAGAAAATTCATATTTAAATTTTCACAAAATCGGTTCAACCGAAATAGGCAGACAAACGAAGCGACACAGACAGAGATGTACATTTCCATAGAAAACACGACTTAGGAAATTTTAGTCCCGCCACATAACCGCAAAGGCGTTGAACGAATTTAACTTAAGAATTAAATTAAATTTTCTTAATTTCCACAACCCAACAATGAGTTGTCATTGTACTTACATAATTGTAGGGAACTGCCTTCTGGAAATATTAAATAATATCTTTTTCTTCGTGATTTTTTCTCATCTGATTTTGTATAATTAATTTTTATATCATCATTTTCTTCTTTACTATTTATATTTATAAATTTTACATTATTTTCATTATTATTTATACTTATATTCATTTTATTATCATTTTTAATAATATTTTGAGTGATTGAAATTTCATTTTCATTATTTTCACTTAAAATTTCATTATAATTTATGACATTTACACTTGATTCTGTCAATGTTAATTTATTTTTATTCTTAATTTTTGATGTTTTATTGAATTTATTAAATTTCTGTGAAATTTCATTATTCTCGTTCACAACATTTTCAATAAAATATACAAAAAATGTAATTGCTATAAAAGCAAATAATATTAATATAAAAAATATTATTTTTAAAAGAAAATAATTATGATGAGTCGATGACGAATTCATTTAAATTTTATTAAATTCCTATAAACTATTGTACTTTGTTAAATTAAATTAAAAATCAAAGAATAATTTTTTTCTAAAATTTGGAATTGGCAACTACATGTATGGGAAATAAAATAAAATTTATTATTAATTATTTTGTAATTTCTTATAAATTTTAATTTTTGTCTTTGTTATTGAAAAATATTTCTATTATAAATGAAATCTCCTTGACAATTAATTTAGAATCGAAAGACAAAGAAAATAGAACTAAAGAATAAAAAGAAAATTTTGTTCTAATATTAAATTAAAATTTTGTTCTAATATTTGTTAATTAAATTACCATTTTTATTTTTATTGGCTATAAATATTGCTTTTGGGTTTGTATGAGTCAGTGAAAACGATGAATATTGGTAGATTAATATCACTGACATTTTATGATTCAAAATTTCGTAAAAAACATAATTTTAGAAAAATTTATTTTTAGCACTTTTCCAAAAAAAATTTAAAAAAGTTTGGGTATAATCCGCCTGTTCGTCCGTCCGTGGACATATTTACCAAACTTTCATACCTTTGCAGATAAAATGGTCTTTAATATTTACCGTTATCTGAAATCCGTTTTTTTTCCATATTTTTGATATCATTTTTATTCTAACCTTTAGGTTTCTTATAAATTTCAGGTTCTCCTAAACCTCACGACTATTTCGGAGTCTCAAATTTTAGCACTTTTTACAACAACTTTTTATATTTTTTTTTTTTAAGCTTCAACTTTAGAATTTTTGGTTCCTCAAATTTCTAAAACTGCAACCTTTTCCAAATTTCTATATATGCAGAAAGATATTTATCGTTATCTTGCCATTAAACAAATATAATTATTAATTTTAACTCGCAATTAACCCTTCAAGTCGAGCAATACGTTTACGTCTTTTAAATTTTTTTTTGTTTTATTTCAAAAGTTGCACACCTAAAAGTATGCAATTTTTGAAATATATTCCTATAAGAATAAAAGTAATTTTAATCATGTAGTACATACATATATAGCATACATACATACATAGCATACATACATACATAGATTATTTTTAAAAGCAGTATTTTTACCTGTTGATGGGAAAAGTGCTACATTACAAACCATTGGTTTGACTCTACTTTATTTAAACTTAAATTTCTTTCAATTTCAGTATAGTTTTTTTTATTTTTAATTTTAATTCATTTACAATATTATTGAACTAGTATCATTCCTACAAGTTTTATTTTAAGTAAAGCGTATGGTCTCTGTTCCTATATGTATATTAAAAGAAATCTATCAATAATTATATTTCCAATTCCTCATTATATCTGAAGTGCATCTCAATAAATAAGTTTTATTAAAAATTCTTTTTGAAATGGCTTGAAATCAAAATTATATTGAGTTAGAGTTTCAATTTCGATTTTTAATTTAAATTTGAAAGGAATACTGTTATCTTTCTATGTGGTATTGTACATACACATATACATTTTTATATGTGTATTTCCATAAGTGTTATACTGTTTAAGTAAAAGTCCATTTATATTATAATTATTATTTGATCGCATATACACACATATATGAATATGAACGCGATAAATGAAAATTTATATTGTTATCATAGCAATTGTTACCATTATATCCTTTTTATTTAAAAACTTTCTTCAAAATCAGATCCTCTTTCATATTATACACATAAAATACTCGTATATACAATATTGTATAACGTCACACATGTACATGAACATGTGCACTTATATAATGTGCTGTTTTATTCTAGATTTTGGGTCAATTATTTTTAATTAATATTCAGGAAGGTCATAATATTTCAAAACAACTTAAATGGTGTAATTAAAAGCAAATACATATTCTTATACTTATATATGTATTATATGTATGGAGATAATGTATATACAAAATACCATCTCTTTCACAAAATATATACGCGAGTATACATACTTAAGTAGATAAGTATTTTTTAATTATGAAGAATATAAGTTAATATTTAAAAATTAAAAAGGATATCAGCCATTCATCAAAATGCAAAAAAAAAAAAATTATTATGTTTCAAATAACATTATATAACGCTTTATCATATACAAATATGTACCATGCATATGTAACACGTGCAAATGACTGTGAATTTAAATTGGTCAGAGAAAGTTACGCTTATAATATAAAAGCAATAAGCATCATATCTCTTAAGTTAACCTAGACAAGTAGGCAAATAATAATAATAATTTTAATGAAGTTTAAATATTTACTTCATAATATATTGTAATTATTTATTCATGGAATTCTTATAGATGTAATTGCTTTGCAAAAAAATTAAAAATGCAATGAATGCAAAAAAAAAAATAAATGAAAATTAGTGCGTACTCTAATGAACCAAATAGGAGATGTATAGAAGCTAAGACAATTTATAATGTTCAGCCATGTTCATTATGAAATTATTAAAATTTAATTAACCAATTAAGTCGTACAATTTTATTATTAACACGATTTTCTATAGAATGTTATTTGAGAAATATTTGTAAAAAACATACTATTCCTTTTGGAAAACCTAATCTTACTATAATTCTGATTTGAGCAGCACATGACTGCTAACGTTATAGTTTTAGTTTTATAAACATATACTTTTAGAATACGTTCGCAAATAACGAAGCTTTATATTAGTCTGGCGAAAATAATTCACGAGAGTGCTATTCCGCGAAAAGTGCTACACTTATGTACATAAATTTTACGCAATAGTCAATTGGTTTTCTTGCGAAATGGAAATATTTTGGGCTATAAACGTTTCCGAATCTTATAGGAGCTGAAACCTTTTGAATACAAATAAAATATTGCATTTATTTTATAAATTTAATTTGAAAATTCTTCAATTCTTTAAATTAAACCAAAAAATTATTTAGTAATTTTAAAGGGAAATAACAGTCACAAAAAAAAAAATAACAACTAAATATAAAAAAAATATTTGACTAAACAAAAGCAATACTGTTACAATTTCGTTAGAAAATTGTATACATAAATAATTTTCTTTTAGAAAATCTAGAATATCTAGGTGACCCATTAAAAGTGGAACGTTCATTTTTTTTCCACATAATATTTATATTAAAAAAAAGAAATGTTTATTTACTGTTCTTTAACGCTCATTTGTCGTTCTTTTTTTACTTGTATTTAGAAATTATATGTATAGATTTGAACGTGTATGTATGTATATTCAAGGATAATTATCATAAGCAGTGAATCGTGTATTCAGAAAAGGTGTTAATTACATTTATACATTAGAAATGTATTACAAAGAAAATTTTGTATGAGTATATTATCTTGCCATACCATTATACCATGCGTGCTATGCTACAAATATTATTCCATATATTATTTTTGATACTGAACACATTATTATGTACTTAAGTATTGTATGTATGTTAAATGGAAGTTTTTTTTTTTGTTTAGAATATGCCAGTAACTTTAACTGTCATTTATTTCAATGATATTTAATTTGAAGAGTACAATGAACTCAAAGATGAAAATTAAAAATTGTTATAGAATTTGAGTTAAAATATATTTATATATGTATGAATGTATATTTGTGTATACGAGTATTAATAATGATGAACTTTTTTATTAATGTGTTAATTAAATGAAATATGAAATGTAGTATTCTTTATATCGTATACATGCAATATATATTGAATTTTGAATACTATTCGAACTGTATGAGTGCCTACAATATTATTCCGTACTGAAGATTAACAATGAAAATAATAACTGAATAATTCATAGAAAAATTTATGATTAATTTTATTTATTTTAGCTCGTAATATATTTAAAAGAGTGTGATTTTCTTAATTATTAAATTATAAATATAAGCATTATGCTTTCCGAAAAGAATTATTGCATGCAGAAAAATTGATGTATGACATGATACTTCATACAAATAGTATGATTTTACTTTATTAAATTCGTTTTTGATTGATTTGATTGAAAAATGAGGGCTCAGACAGACATGCAATTTTTATTTTTGCAATTACTGCTTGATTGTAGAGACGTTGGGTCAAATTAACATCGCAAGTTTGAGTTGCAATCAGTTTGTTGAAAAAGATATTATTGGAATTGACTGGTTAATTGCGTTTGATCACACAATTGTATGTTTGCGCGTTTGATTGTAAACCTTGAATTTGGAATACAAATAAGAAATCAAACAATTGCAAAAGTTAAAATGGTACGTCTCCCTAAGCCCCCCTTTTAGTTCCAGCAAATTTTAGTAGCACTCGTTATGATACTCATATTTTGAATTTCATATAATATTCTTTTATTCTTTAAATGAAAGTACGTTGAGTATTTACATGAATAAATTTATTTATTTAGCTGGAAAATTCTTTAATAATAATGTCAATTTAAAATTGTTTTATTCCAGTATTAAAGCAATTCAAAAAGTTTGTATTACAATTTAAATATGTAAGTCACTGAATAAATGTGAAAATAAATTACGATACTTATGATATAACATATGTGAATTTTTACACCGAAAAGTTTTCATGTTGCCAATGTTATTGTTGACAAAGGTGACAAAATTTAAATTAAAGGAAAGATTTTCATTAAATCTTAGTTTTAATGTGTATCTATTTTGCAATTGTACCTATTCTAAAAACAAATAATTTAATAATTGAAGAATTGCAATGCCATATTTACTGTGCTTGTTCAGTGTACTATTTTGAAGGTGACCGCAATATTGATATTTTATGTATGCTTTCTATTCATTATTACACATTATTGTGACAATATTCGTAAGTATATACTAATACAGAATAATAAGAATACAGATGTGTAATACATGATAATTATTGTTTCGATTATATTTTCTTTGATGTGCGATAAATAAATTACAGTTTGTTACAGGTGTTTGTAATAGAATTTTCTATAAGTGTCGCACCTAGTTGACAAAAATTTTTTTAATAATAAAAGTGAGAAAGGAAAATAATTCATAAAACGAATATGATCTAGAATAGTTTTGATTATTTGGTTAGACCAAGAGATGTGATCCAAAATAGTTTTGAATTTTCAATGATTGTATATTTTAACAAAAATGACTCTATTAAAGCTTGAAATGATTTTTTAATATTATAATATTATGTAAGAATATCAAGGAAATGAATGATTGTAGAAAATATTTTGGATGCTATATCAAAATGCTCAACATTTAGCTCAATTGTTTTTTTTTAAATTGTTCGAATTTTTCTAAGATTTAAAATCACTTAATCTAGATTTCTAGAATTTCTTTGAAACTAGTTGTACAATTTTTATGAAATGAGCTTAAATAAAAATTGAAATTTATATTTGTTTTATTTTAAAAGAAGAAAAAAATTTTCATTTAAAGTTTGAGCTGTAAAAGTTGTTAAAGTTTTTATAGTCTAATTGATGCACTAAAACAATTGATTCAATAGCAAAATAAATTTTCAATTTATATTCAGAAGAAAATTATTATTGCTAAGTAATTTATGATGACAACGACAATTCATAGATCTTCAATCAAATTTTTTACATGTCATGTCAAATTTAATCTTTCCTCACACCAACCACTCTAGAACTAAATTCAATCAAAAAAATATTCTTAAAAATTCTTCAAAAAAAAAAACTGTGTAGGTATTTGTCTTTAAATGTACTTACAGTTATTATCAGTTCAAAAATATATTATTTCATTTTTACTCCCAAGATATTATTCAGTAAGCGATAGTCAAAGTTCATAGATGTGATTATATGTAGTTATGTGACAAATTTATACTTCAAATAAAACCATCAATCTGAAGTGAAAATAATGTTAAAAAAATCTTTTATAATTTATATTATATTAAATTATTTAAGTGTTAGTAATGTGATCGCTGATAATCTATTGAATATGACATTCAAAGACAAATTATTGAGTAGAGAAAAACGTTATTTGGATTTTGAATATACAGCTCGTATGTTTGTAAGTTTTGTAATGCATGAATTCTCATTATAATTTTTTAAAAATATTTTTTCTTTTATATTTTCTTGTATTATGAAATATTATTTTTTAATAAATATGAAATTTATTAAATGTCGTGGTGCAGTTTCAACTTAATGTCAAAAATAATATTTTAAGAGTGAATGAATTATGGGCATATGCATATGGTTTTCGTGCCCTTATGCCAATTGAAACAAGTATACAACATCGACCATTTAGTAGAAGAAGAAGAAGTGTTTATAATACGTTGGAGTCCTTATTGGATTTGTAAGTATAAGAATATTATGTACAGCTATTGTGAAATTTCAAATTGAAGTATGGTATATTAAATTATTATATAAATAAGAGATATCACCTCTAACAATAATAATCGAGGGGTGTCATATCGTATGATGACGAAATTTTCACATTTCCACTATTCGTCAAGTCACGTAAAGTGAAGCGCACGGCCATTATCTACTTTTTACTCAAAGAGTGTTGTTATTTTTCCAAGTCCTCATAATTTGGCTAAAAATTTGCCATGCTTTGTCAAAATATTTGACTCAGGTTTTTGGCTACATTCATATGAGGCGAATGTAGCCAAAGGTAATGTGAAGAATTTGTTCGCTTTAGGAGGCGTTTTTGTCTTAGAATATGGCCAATGTAGCAACCAAATGGCTAATCATGTAGGCAACTTGTCTTTAGTTGAGATCTGATAACATTTTGAGGGTGCGAGTAATAATATGATCTCGTCGCGGCAACATTTACATTTTATTGAAAGGATTCAATAATTTGGAAACTTTGATTCCGTATTTTTCTTTTTTGATATTAATGAAAAATAACTCCAAATCCATGAATACATTGCGATTCTCTCAGTTTCAATGTTCTTCTTATATAAATAAATCTTATTTGTTTGAAAATTTAATTGCTAAAATTCAGAAAAATAAATTCAGTTTTTTATATTCGATTTTAATTATAAAGAAATTTTAAAATGTGAAATTGTTATGCTCCCGTTCTATAAGAAAATATTCATTTTGTGGAACATTTTCCTATATGAATATTGTATGAATAAAACCGCAATTTACATAAATTACTGCATTTTGTCAATGCATTAATTTGCACATTATCATAAAAATTTACTCAAGCAAATTTTATTTCATATGGATTTCAAATGGTTAACAATGTTCAATAAAAAATATCATGTTAAAACTTCCATCGTTTTAATTTTCGTATTGACAATAGTTCAAGGAAATATTCAATTTAAAAGTTCAAAAAATAAAAATTTAATTCGTAAAAGAAGATATTTAGATTTTTTGGAAAATTCTAAAACATTTGTAAGTAATATTGTGTTTTTTTTTAAATTTATTAAAGTACTTTACGTTTATAACTTTATTTAAAATTTGAAATTTATATCAGATACGAATTAATCATAAAAATAATATGTTGGAAGTTAATGAAATTTTCGCTTATGCTTCAGGATTTCGTGCTAATTTTCCAATTGAATCTCATGTAAATGGTAAGAGTCGTGTAAGAAGAGAACTTTATAATGTTATAACAACATTATTAGATTTGTGAGTATATTATATATAGAAAGAAAATGTTCCACTTTTAATAAATATTACATATATTAAAATTTCAAATGAAAAATGTAACAGGAACCCTTTAAGAAACAAACCGTTATACATGCACAAATAGCGAAATTGCTTCATATTGCAGTTATTATTTTGATCAATAATAAAATTTTATTTCATAAAATTGGTACGCGTCTCAATAATTTTAATATTATACAACATTATTATGTACTAAAACTCTTATTTAAAAATTTATTGAATTGAACCGATTAAAAGTAAGAAATATAAAAAATATTGAATAACTGTGTGATTTAATATTGACAACAAGTCAGTGGAATTGATTTCATTTTCAGTTCTTCGAATTATTACAAGAGAAGCATAAACAGCGTCAATTTCTTTATATGACTGCAGAACGGGTGGATTACGCATTATCAATGTAACAAGAAAAGGTAGAAAAATTTAAAAATTTTTGTCTTTGACTGGACTCGAACCTATGTATTTCAAGCGGAAGATAATAATAACAAAGCTACAGAAAAAATGATCGAAGATTTATTCTGTACGTTCCATTCTATTGCATTTATAGTTTACATTCAGTAAACTATTGACCGAACTGCTTTACATTCAATCTCTTAAGAATACCTTTAATGTACTGAACTCATTTATAAAAGAAAAATGTTTACACCAAATATGGTATTACCTTGGCCATGAGGAAGGTGGGAAATATTAATGTACTAATTTATCGGAAGTCCAGAACATATCTGTTAATGTGAATTGCTCGATTTTATCTGTAAAAGAATATTGTATAGCGAAAATGTACGCGCTGGGTACAACTTTTCCTTTATTCATTGTAAGAGAAAAATTTGGAAATTGAAAACCAGTTTTTCGGATTTGTTAATTGGTTGAATATTGCAATATAGCCTATTCAAACTCAAACAAAAGTCACAGATTTTTCTTCTCTTCGCCGTATCTTATCTTCTGAGTTTGTAATCAAACATCTGCCTAACATACAATCAAAGAAGAATTATAAAGAAGTTGTAAAAATTTTTCAAAATTAAATTAGCACTAATCTTCCAAAAAAAATATTTGTTTTCTTCTTTTTATAATAAAGAAAGACAAAAAAAAATTAATTTATTTTTTATAGGTTTTCAGTTTTAATTCAGTTTTTCATTCAAAAATAACTTTAATTATAAAAATTTAATTCTAGTGTGATACTAGATATTATACATAGATTTAGAATATAAAAAATGATTTTATTTTTAAAAATTTTAACATTTAATTTAATAATTTTTATTGTTATTACAACAACATATTCAATAAATGGTACAAATTCAATATTAAAACGTGGAAAAAGATATTTAGATTTTTTGAATTTAAGTCGTATGACTGTAAGTGTTATACTTAATAATATTATAAGAAGTTGAGAAGGAAAACGTATTTTTTGATATTAATTTAATTACAGTTTCGTGTATCAATTAGAAATAATATATTACAAGTAAATAATGTATTTTCATATTCGGTTGGTTTACGTGCAAATATGCCAATTGAATCAGATCATTTACATTATTTAGATTTTAATATACATCCACATCATCCGAAACCAAAAACAATTAGACGACGTCATGTTTATGAAACAATTGAGGATTTATTAAATGCGTAATTAATTAACATATAATAATAATTATATATTATTAGTAAATTTAAATTAGTATATGTATATTTATTATAATAACCATGTAAATACAAATGGATTAAGGATGTTACAATTTTGACATTTATATACTGAATTCATTATACAGAATACATGATGTATAGTTACTTAAATATGAGTTAATAGATGGACTTTAAAATTATGTAAAAGATTGGTATACAAGTTGTGGTCCCATAAAATAATATTAGGCAATAACTTTTGTATATATGATTTGTATTTGGACTCGCTTTACATTTTGAGTTACGTGGAAAAAGGTTTGTGTGTCAGCTAAATTTTAATTTGAAAATATTCGGATAAGAATATAATAAATGTGATGTTATAACATTAAGACACAGGATGATAGGATTTGGGATTTTGAGAAAAAGTCAATATAGAAATAATCTTGCCTCCAAAAACCAGAATTTCCAAATTTAAGTAAACAAATTTATTCAAATTTATTTTAACTTTAAATTTTTTCTATAATTTTTTTTATTATTTTAAATTAAATAATAAGGAATCTTCTTTAAAACAAAATACGGAAAGACCCGTATAACAAAAAAAAAAAAAATTATTTATTGAATTTTCGGTTCGTGACGGAAATTGTTTGAAAACTGTTTTTTAAAATAATTGACTTAATTGTTATTTTGTCAACACTCTATTTATTACGCTCAGTTAATTTATTGATTTTAAATTATATTAAGTGATAATTAATGTTATTATGTTGATAGAAAATTTTTTATTAAAAAATTTGTTGATATTGTGGTGTGGTTATACTTGTACACATTATTATTAAAATTTTTTAACATGAATATGCAAATGAATAAAAAGGACTTCAAAAATTATCTGGCCTCAAGTTCAAATCATTAGATATTTCATTTATAATATAGAGGTTTTTTGAAATTTTGTTCAATGAAACACTTTGATATTTAAAATTTTATAATGAATTTTTCATAGAAATTGTTGTAATGATGCGCTAAAATATAAATGAACTGCTTTTTTACAATTTTTATTAAGATATTGTTAATTGAATCCGGAATGTTATGGCGACACAAGAATAACAGCATAAATTTTATTAAAGACAATAAAAACTTTTCAGTCGACCTTAACTAAATGAATTATATCATGACAGTTAGCTATCAGAAGAGTATATCACCTACCCGAACCTGTTAAGTCGTTCCACAAAAATTTCTGTTCTAGAAATTATTTAGAACTTAACTGATTTTACAGATTAAGTAAATAATTGCAATTTAGGGACTTGTTTTTCCATATAGTTAATTCAAAACTAGTAGCAAATAGTTCCTGCAAAAAAGAAGTTAAGAAGTTTTGTGAGGCTCATCAGATTTAACTTGCAATATGAATCGTATTTTCGAACCATACTATATTATTTTCCATTGTAATGAATGCATTTTCAATGTTGCCTTAAAAAAATAATTTTTCATTTGAAAATATTTCTTGTAATAATTTTCTTAACCTTAGTGCACAGTTTACTTTCCAGAGTCACCTTAAAATACAATATTCACTTAAAATTTAAATTAAAGGAAACTTTTAAATTCAAAATTTCTGCTTAATTATAGCTTTAATTTACTGTCTTTTTTTGTTCTCTTATTATATGGTATTAAATTTATTTAGTTAAACATAGAGGGTGTTGATTTTTTTTATCCTTCACCTTAATTGGTTTTTCCCTTTTTCCTTTTATGATACTGTGAAAACCAAAACCAAAAGTGGATTTTTAGCATATGGGGATTTTTAACATGACCTATATTTTGTAATGTTATGCAAATATACTTTTGTATATTAGACTACATCTTTGTATATAATATAATTATGTATACTTAATTACATATTTTCATATTATATGAATACATACATAAATTTGTACATAAAATAAAATTTAGATTATATTATATTTAAATTTAAAAAAGAGAATTTGCAATCAAAATATTATTTAATTAATTTAATTTTCTTTTACTTTCACGCTATTTTGAGTTCATCCAAAAAAAAAAAAATGGGTAAAATGAATAAAAAAATATAATTTTTTTGGGAATTTTCAGACATGGATTGGATGGTCGAGCATGTATACTAAAATCATTTTGTACGGTTACTGAATCGATACGTGAAGGTTATGGAACAGGAATGTTATTTAAAATATTTCAGTTAATTTTTACGTAAGTCGCAATTTTTTTAATCTAAGTTCTATGATTCTTTATTAGTATAAGTATTTTGTGTATAATGCTGTTGATTAATTAATGGTAAATTATTTTAATATGGAAAATATTATAGCATAGTGGTACGGTATTCCGTATTATTTACACACGCCTCTGCGTGTTTAGTGTGTTTTTCAATTTTCAAAAAATTTATTTAAAGTATGTGATAGATTATTAGTTATTTTTGTCCATAAACGCGTAATTGACGAATATTTAATTTAAAATTTAATACAAATTTGGGGCAGACGCTTCCGCTTTTTGATTTTCTATAAATTTATAAATGAATTGATTTTTTCGGTTTTAGCTTTTAAATAGCAAATTAGTTTTGATTATATGGTGGTTATGTAAAAATATGTTTTGTTACTTTATTAAATAAAATTTCAATTAAATTTCTTCTTTTTAATGAACTTTATTTAATACGTCACGTCATAATACGAATATAAGCTTTCTTGTGTATTAATATGCACCACCTCTCATTGTACACATCGCACTTTTAGGAACAAAAAGGTATTAATTGAAATATTTCCGTTTCTCTGGTTTTATTAAAAATTTTAAATATTTGAGTGTTTTTAAACTTACTTACTCTATTGTTTACGGGGACACAATTGTTCCAAGTTTTCAAGAAATCATATACATTAAATTAATACAATTTTGTTCCAGGAGTACAATACATTCACTTATGTTTTATATTTATTTGTAAACTTGTACAAGATAAATTAATTTTTTTAAATAATATTCAAAATTTGGTATTTATTTTTAGACCCCGAGATCATGATAAAAGGCATTTTCCATATTTAAATGAAAATAATTGCAATCAATTGTTACATCAGCATTGTCCTTTTGGTTTTGACAGTATATCACCATACACAGATGATTTTTGAAGAAATTTTTTGTGAGAAAAAAAATATTTCGAAAAGTAAAATTGTATTTTTTATTAAAAAATAAAAATAAATTTGTGACAAAATATTTAATTTACATTTTTACAATTAATTTAATAATTTCTGAGAATAATTTATGATTAATGAGAAAATTGCATTTTTCATTTAAGAGACAAGTCTAAGGACTATGAAAATTAAGAATTATTTTGTTTATGTTTTTAGAAAATATAATTATGTATTTAAAATTTTTATTATCATAAAATGTATCAGGAGGTTTGATTTTCTGATTTTTTTTGCGAATTTGTAAATTATTTCAAACGCTTACATTGTAAGGATTAAAGGATTCTTTTTGAGTTCTTTCCAAAATTTAACCTTTTACGAATTACCTGTTTAAAAGAAATTAATTAAGAAAAGATTACAGTAATTTTAAAAAATATTTTTATTTTCCATTTTATTTTTTAAGTTCCACTTTATTCCATTACTGTTTTTATTAGATGATAATTTAATATTAGCCATAATTTTCCAACAATTCATACTTCCATTATATTCCGGGAAAAACTCACTATTAAAAATAAAAATTTATAATATAATTTAAAAAATTGTAGGATAATGTGTGTTAAGAATATTATAACAACTTCTTAGACAGTAAAATTATAGCATAATTTAGAATTTGTGCAAAATTTAGAAGATTCAATCTGGTAAACTTAAATTAAGTCATAAAGAGTCAAGTTTTGGATAATGTTACAATAAATACAAGAATGTTCTTGCATAATTTTCTAGATCGTAAGTTTATTTTCTATCCCGTTTTATAATTTTCAAACTATAATTACAATTGAAGGTGTTAAAAAAATGAAGGAACTAAATTATATTTTAAGAAAATATCAATCTTATTTACTTCGCCTTCTCTGATATTTTTCTGCCAAGAGGTTTATCATGGCAAAATATTAAATATGTTTAAGACATATTCAAGAAAGTTCTTAATTCAATTAAATAAATACATATAAAACGCTTTTTCCGCGAAATAAATTTAATGTTTATATTTATGTTAGCACCTTCAATTTTCAACCCCATGCAAAATTTACTTATACTTACCTTATAGAAATTTGCAATATATCTAAAATTAAAAAATATTTTATTATAAAATTTTCTTTTAAATTATTACAAATCAATTCTAAAATAGTATGCCAATCTATTTTTTCAAATCTGTAATAAAAAATGTTTTAGATGTATTATAATTTTAATAATATAAGTGCATACTAACATTTTCATATATTCTCCAATTATTTTAAGTATGATTTGATTCTTCTGATTCGAAAAATCATTCGGATTTCCATTATATTCATTTTTTGATTGTGTATCACTTCTAATTTCATCAAATTTATTTTTAATAAATTCTTTTTTTGTTTTTTTACTTGAATTTACCGATATTGTTTTAATCAAATAAGCTCTTTTATTTCTATTAAAAGTTTTCTTATTATTTCGATGTCTTATTCTCCATTCATTATTTTTCATATTATGTAGATTTTCATTGGTATTATATATATTATGATTATGATCATAAAAATTAATTGTAGAATTATTACAACATAAAAATTTCCTATGTTTTCTTTGCCATGAATCATTTGAATAAGTTTTTTGAATCCTTTCAATTTTATTCCTTTGACCGTCAATAATATTTTTTGTAAGTTTTCTCTTTTTATTATTATTATTATTATTGTTGTTATTATTATTATTAATTCTCTTATAAAAATTATAATATAATGTCTGGTTTGGAAAAGTTTTTCTATTAGTATAGTAGTTATTTAGATTATTGCCTTTATTTTTATATAATTGTGTTGATGGTATTATATTTTTAGTAATTCTGTTGAATATTTCTGGTTCTGGTTTTTGTCTCTTAAATGCCAATGAGAATTTCCTTTTAGACCATGTATTCTTATTAAAATTATTTACTTTATAATCCATAATATTATTATTGTTATTATTATTGATGTCTTGATTATAATAATTATAATTCGAATATACTGGATCATAGTAATTTTGTTGAAATTCTGAAATATTTATGATAAGATTTTGTTATACACATATAGGTACATACATATGCAAAGATAAATAAATGAGAAATTCCTTAAAGAAGAGAAAATCAAATTTGAAAGTAGTATATTGAAAAATATGAAATATAACATTATTAAAATTTATTTGAAGTGAATAAGAAAAAAATAAGAAAAAATTAAGGAAAGGAAGTTAAAACTTTTCGAAAAGTTTATATTGAATGCGTATTGAACTTTAATATAAAACTTTGAAAATATTTTCATTTCAAAAACAAAAATTTATTTTTGGATTTTTTTTTTTGTTTTGAATTTGACTCAGTATGTCTTTTTAATTTATGATAGTTTCCGATTTATTCTTGAAAATAATATTATATTTCTTGTTAGGGAATAAATTTATTTTTATGGAAGAGATTATTTTGTGATATGTTTTATATTATCAATTTAAAGTTTGATATGATTTTATTGGAAAACAAAATTTTATACAATTTAAATAAAATGTCAAGAGAGGTTGAAATCCATGACATTTAATTTATTTAAAATAGATTTTATAACAAGGTGTTCGTGTACGCGATTGGAATGATCTATTATAATATTCTGTATATATATGACAAATTTCGGCATTATGGAACAATATCAGTTCGTGCTTTTCATTTTAAGATGCAAAACTCAAATGGAAATTATTTTTACCTTGTAATTAAATATTTTTTTAAAATATCAGAGCGGTACTTATTTAACAGTTAAATAGAAGTAAAAAAACAACCCTTATGACTTTAAAATTATTTTTAAAAAGATTTTTTAGAAGTGTTTTCCATTTTAAAGATGCCAACTCATAAAATAATTCAATAGAGCACAAATTATATGATAAAATTCAAAATTTTTATAGTAATTTCAGCTACATAAAAAAAAATATTATTCTCTTCTTATTTAGTTTTTTTTCTTTTTTAACTTGATTATGCCCCTTAATCACCTATAAAAATAATAAAAATTTGATTTTTAAATGGAAATTTCTTTTTAATTTGAACGAGATTTAAAGAGCATAAAATTTTTTTATGATATAAATGATTTTGTTAATCGTATTAAGGGTAAGAACCTTTTTTAAAATAAAAAATTTTTCTTTTTTTTGCATCTCAAACATTAAGACGACTTAATGAAGCAAAACGTAAATTTCAAATACTTTTATTGTATATACAGTCAAAGTATCAACCATACTTTTTTAAGATAGAATTTTTATGTCCATTTCAATTTTTTGTTTTGTTTTTGTAATATTTTTCTTTTATATGGATGATCCTTTGGAATACAATGAAGAAGGTATTGACTTTTACAGTTTGAATATTTTTATTATTGAATTTTTAAAAAGGAAATCTTTTTGTGTTGTGTACATGGGTACTTTTTATACTTTTAGTTTTTCTTTTTTCTACTTAAATGAAATTAACGTTTACTGAGGATATGAACGCATAGAATTTAAGAAAAGTTAGGTTTTAAATTAAAAAATTACAAGCTCATATTTTTTTAAAATTTCTAATGAACCCGGTTTGTTCAAGTTTTTTTTTGTTAAGTTTATTCAATTTTTAAAAATAGTTGGTTTCATTACAAGTTTAAGAAAAAAAATCAAATCAGATGAAAGCACGCGCTAATTCATAATTTTGCCGAACTCATAAATTAATAATGGTTCTTGTCTAAATTAAATTTTTTGATGGTATGAGCCAAATAATAATTCCTCAGTGCTCTGTTCTATTTTAATTGTAAAAAAACATTGAAATTCAAAAGAAAATTCCATGAAATATTCAATGAGTATAATGTTAAAGACTTTTAAATTACACTTGTAATAAGCTTCAATGGATTCCAATGAATATATGTATGTAGTTTAGATCAAAAATTAAGACTAAACAAATTTATCATATTTAACATAAAAATAGAAATAAATAAATTTTTAATCTAAAAGTTCATATTTAATTTTAAAAAAAAAATAAAGTAAATTTTAGTTTTTTAAATATTAAGATGCTTTGGGTTTGTAACATTATAATTTAAAATCAACCAATTTTATCTTATTTGAAACGTGATATTTTCAACCGCAGTCATAAAATAGTAATCCCCGTTTTTTAAAGTCAAAACTATAATATTTTTTAAATTATATGGTTTAACCACATATAATCTACTAGAGTCTGCCATACCACGTATATAACGCAGAGCGATATATACTATAGGTATATATTATAAAAAATCTTAATAAAACAACACTGACATCAAGTAAATAAAACCTGATTTACTAATTTATGATTTCACCGTATAACAAATATATATGTAAGTATATATATAACAAAAATTTCAATCTTTGGAATATTTGATTTATTTTATAAAGAGTATTTGAGTAAAATTTAAAAATTTACTCATAAATTTTTTTTTCGAAGAGAGTAAACATTTTCATATTATATTTAAAGTATATTTTTAAGGGTTATATGAAATGTTTACAAAATAAAAATGTTATATAACCAATAAACCATGAGTATAAAAGAAAAAATATCCTAGGAAACTAAAATTTAATATTAAAATGTAAAAAAAAAAATAATAATAATAAAAAAACCCAAGAATTTTCTTGTTTTTTCATTTTTATACATACTTTTAACTTTATTCCATATTGGTTCCTTTTGATGATGATTTACTTCTGCATATAGATGACTTGCTGATGGTAATGTTGGCGGTAATGTTATTAAAAGCGGTTGTGCTAATATTGGTAAAACTTTTACTGTTTTCATTGATAATGATGATGGTGATAACGATGATGATGATGATGATGATACAGATGATATTGATGGTATATTTGATATTATTGATGATGGTGATGTTTTTAAGAAAGTTGTCGACATTATCGACTCTATCGATTTAGATGATGATTTTATATTATGCGGTTTTACTTTATATTCTCTATTGGTTTGTTTTAGAAATTGTTTTTGTTTT